CCTCAACATTACAGAGGTACAAAATTGGTCCAGGGACTGTACCTCAACATTACAGAGGTACATAAATGGCCCAGGGACTGGGCCCCAAAGTTATGATAGCTGAACTTGGTACAAAGGTAATGAACTCACAAGTTACAAAGGTAATGAATCCTGTAAGTAAATTTTCTTATGTATGCAGAAGCACCTATAATTACGTGCTTAAGTTCCTTCTCATAGTAAGTATATGTTTGCTGGTATGATCCGTGGCCTGGCTGGCGAAGCTCTCGCTTCACACATGGAGGGCCCGGGTTCGATTCCCCGCATGGTAGAAACATTTCGACGTGTTTTCTTACTCCTGTTGTCGTGTTCACCTAGCACCAAGTAGGTACCTGGGTGTTAGTCGACTGGTGTGGGTGGCATCCTGGGGGACAAGATTGAGGACCACAATGGAAATAAGACAGACAGTCCTCGATGACGCACTGACTTTCTTGGGTTATCCTGGGTGGCTAACCCTCCGGGGTTAAAAATCCGAAGAAATCTTATCTTTACCCTGCAACTGGGAGGGAGGATTTTACATACAAGTGACAAAGCATTTTGTCTAGAAGCAGCCGTCCTGCATATAAGAACGTAAAAAAAGAAGGAACACTGCAGCAGGCCTGCTGGCCCATGAGAGGCAGGTCAAAGTCTCCTACCGGCTTAAGCCAATGCCCTAACCTAGTTAGGTCAGCTCACATTCACATTCACTTTAGTATATTTCCGGTTATAAATAATTTAGGAAGTCAAACTGTATGTCATGACTTAGAGTAATTATTAGGGAGGCTAGTGTCCATAGAGGTATAATGTAGACTATGCACCAATCTTAAAATTGTCATTAAAATGTCGACGAGGTGGGAGGGAGTGAAGGTGGTGATGTATGGCTGACCTACACATTCCTCGCCAGAAACACCAACCCTTCCAATGTTTGGGTTGTGAGGAATTATTTTTTATTGTACGCAAACTGTTCAGCTATTTTCAGAGAAAATATTTTTTTTCTCCTTGTTAGATCTGAAGTCTATGATGGGTATTACATGGGTAGTGTTTGCAGATAGTTACTAGTTTCAGGGATACTAACCTTCCCAGAGGTTATATTTAGAGGGCCGTGGGCAGCTTATCTTATGAGTATACTCGTATCCCTCTGGATGTGGGTGCACTCTTAGGAACAGTGCACGTATACGTAGAGTGTACTCACCTACTTGTGGTTGCAGGGGTCGATTCACACCTTCTGGCTCCGCCTCTTTGCTGGTTGCTACTAGGTTCGCTCTCTCCCTGCTCCATGAGCTTTATCTTACCTCTCCTTAAAGCTATTATTGCCTCTACGACATCACTCTCCCGATTGTTCCAATTTCTGACAACTCCAAGACTGAAAAAATACTTCCTAACATCTGTGACCCAAATGAATTTTCAGCTTCAAGTTGTGACCCTTGTTGCTGTGTCCCATTTCTGGAACATTCTGTCCCTGTCCACCTTGTCAATTCCTCTCAGTATTTTATATGGCGTTATCATGTCCCATCTATCCTTCCAGTCCTTCATTGCCGTCAGGTTGAGTTCCCTTAACTTCTCCGTATAGGACATAACCCTTAACTCCGTGACTAGTCTTGTTGAAAACCTTTGCACTTTAATTTCTTAACGTGCTTGACCAAGTGTGGGTTCCATACTGGTGCTGCATACTCCAATATGGCCCTAACGTGCACGGTGTACAGTCTTGAATGACTCCTTATTTAGGTGTCGAAAAGCTATTCTTAGGTTTGCCAGGCGCCCATATGCAACAGCAGTTATTTTGTTGATGTGCACATCAGATGTGCTCAGTATGACTCACGAAATCGTAATGACAAACAAACCATACCACGGGTGGAGTTTAACCCCCCGGTCAGTCTCAAAACTCCAGACCGTCTCGTTAGCCACTGGGCCAGCTAGCTTCAATAAGATTCACCTTGTTGAATGAATCTTATTGAAGCTAGCTGGCCCAGTGGCTAACGCGACGGACTGGAGTTTTGAGACTCTATGACCGTGGGTTCAAATCCCACCCGTGGTATGGTTTGTGCTCAGTATGATACTCACTCCAAGATCCTTGACCTTGAGTGAGGTTTGCAGCGTTTGGCCCCCTAGCATGTCTTCTTTCATCTTCCCCAATCTTCATGACTTTGCATATGGTGGGTTTAAACTCCAGGAGCCATTTGCTGGACTAAGTTTGCAGCATGTCTAAATCCCTTTGTAATCCTACCTGATCCTCATCTGCTTGAATTTTCCACATTACCTTCACATAATCTGCAAAAAGGGACACCTCTGAATCTGTCCCATCTGTCATGTCATTCACATATACCAGAAACAGCACTGGCCCTTGGACTGACCCTTGTGAAGGTCCGTTTGTCACATGCGCCCACTCTGACACCTCGTCACTTATCACACTCATTTCCTCCCTGTCAGGTAGGTATTCCCTAATCCATTGCAATGCCTTTCCTGTTATTCCTGTCTGCTTCTCTAACTTTTGCACTAATATCTTATGCAGAACTCTATCGAAAGCCTTCGACGAATCATCAACAGTACCACTGTTGGGCTTGATCTTGACACAATTTGCATAGTTCATCGTGGTGCAAGTCAAGGCTGAAGACGATGGTATAGGTTCCCCTCCCCAACGGGGATCGTAGGGAGACTGAATAAGTAAGAAGAGCTGCCATGACCTGCCGAGGCGAGAGTGGCTGGAGCACAGGCAAGAAGGCTGGTGCTTATATACTAGCGTCAGGTGGAAAGGGGACGGGTAGCAGACGAGAGCATTGTCACTGGTAGGCGGGATTTCCCAGTGGAAGTAGGTCATACCCGAGGGACGGGTTAGTAGAAGTGAGGAAGGTTGTGGAGATATCCTCTGAACCCAGATTCCATGATGTTGCAGTGTCTGACAAGTTGTACATACATAATGCACAGGCTTACCATAACTTTTTTTTTACTTAAAACAGGACATTTTTAGAGTTAAAAAAAAAACATATACATGAAATATGATGCAGGTATATTTTCTTTAATGCAAAACAAGTGAAGATTAAAATGTAACAATTTTTGGCATAACTCTTTGGAAAACCATTCGTATTTTTTCACCAGAATGAACCTTCCTTAGTAATGGTATATCTACCTGGGAAAAGGGAATGTGCATACAATATTCACATTTCTTAACCCCAAGTAGATCTCTTTGTTGTGCAAGAAAGGTATAAAATACCGACAATATGAAAGTTAAGACACATGTGCAACATCTGGATATCTTTATTGTAGTAGACGTTTCGCCATCCAGTGGCTTTTTCAATACAGATTCTAGGACATAATAGGAAGACAGTAGAACTATATACAAAAGATGAGGTAATCAGTCCCTCGGCCTTGGAGTTAGTGTTCACAGCATCGTGGTGGAGGAGAGTCTGGAGCAAAGGCAAGAAGACTGGCGCTTTTTATAGGCGTCAGTGAATGGGACGGGCAGCAGACGAGGGCAGTCACTGGTAGGCGGGATTCCCCAGTGGAAGTAGGTCCTTCCCAAAGAGATGGGTTAGTTGCAGCAGCCGTGAAGAAGGTCTTGTAGATGTCCTCTGAACCAAGATTCCATGATGTTGCAGTGTCTGACAAGTTGTGCAAGAAAGGTATAAAATACCGACAATATGAAAGTTAAGACACATGTGCAACATCTGGATATCTTTATTGTAGTAGACGTTTCGCCATCCAGTGGCTTTTTCAATACAGATTCTAGGACATAATAGGAAGACAGTAGAACTATATACAAAAGATGAGGTAATCAGTCCCTCGGCCTTGGAGTTAGTGTTCACAGCATCGTGGTGGAGGAGAGTCTGGAGCAAAGGCAAGAAGACTGGCGCTTTTTATAGGCGTCAGTGAATGGGACGGGCAGCAGACGAGGGCAGTCACTGGTAGGCGGGATTCCCCAGTGGAAGTAGGTCCTTCCCAAAGAGATGGGTTAGTTGCAGCAGCCGTGAAGAAGGTCTTGTAGATGTCCTCTGAACCAAGATTCCATGATGTTGCAGTGTCTGACAAGTTGTGCAAGAAAGGTATAAAATACCGACAATAAAGATATCCAGATGTTGCACATGTGTCTTAACTTTCATATTGTCGGTATTTTATACCTTTCTTGCACAACTTGTCAGACACTGCAACATCATGGAATCTTGGTTCAGAGGACATCTACAAGACCTTCTTCACGGCTGCTGCAACTAACCCATCTCTTTGGGAAGGACCTACTTCCACTGGGGAATCCCGCCTACCAGTGACTGCCCTCGTCTGCTGCCCGTCCCATTCACTGACGCCTATAAAAAGCGCCAGTCTTCTTGCCTTTGCTCCAGACTCTCCTCCACCACGATGCTGTGAACACTAACTCCAAGGCCGAGGGACTGATTACCTCATCTTTTGTATATAGTTCTACTGTCTTCCTATTATGTCCTAGAATCTGTATTGAAAAAGCCACTGGATGGCGAAACGTCTACTACAATAAAGATATCCAGATGTTGCACATGTGTCTTAACTTTCAGATCTCTTTGTGTCTCCATAAAAGCCGACTGTGTGGGCGAAACGTTGTCAATAATGGATTACATGACACTAAGATAAGATTTCGTTCGGATTTTTAACCCCGGAGGGTTAGCCACCCAGGATAACCCAAGAAAGTCAGTGCGTCATCGAGGACTGTCTAACTTATTTCCATTGTGGTCCTTAATCTTGTCCCCCAGGATGCGACCCACACCAGTCGACTAACTCCCAGGTACCTATTTGCTGCTAGGTGAACAGGACAACAGGTGTAAGGAAACGTGTCGAAATGTTTCCACCCGCCGGGAATCGAACCCGGGACCTCCGTGGTGTATGAAGCGGGAAATTTAGCCACCAGGCCACCGCGCCACTGCATATATCTTTTTCCATCTCGGATTTTATACCATTTCTCTCCATGTTTTAGAGATCCTAGGCTAATAGGTAGATATTGTTGTCTTTTATAAATGAAAGGCCTTAAAATAGGTACAAACTGTTTATTTATTATTAACATCTCAAAAACTCCATTCATTTTCGAATTAAACAAAACGTAAAACTTTGAAAACTAAATAAGATTTTTATCTTAGACGGCAACTTTTATGTAATAACTTTAAATTGAACATAAAATAACTTGTCAATATATTTCAGAGGATAAAATCGAAGATTCGCAAAAGAAAAGATATTAAAGCACCCGCAGTTTGATAATAGGACATTATTTGTAGAAAAATCTACATTTCTAAAAATAATATTTACCCCTCAAAGGGGTCTATGAAACCAATACACAACACACTTGACATGACAATATATATACAAAGAAGGCGAAGCAAAAGTAGACGTAGTCAGGTAAAGGAAGATGGAGTGGCCAAGTTATTGGCTTGAGTCAACTTCACACGATTTTTTTTTAATAACTTCAACTAGAGGATGTTTGGTGCTTAATGCCCACTACTGGATACACTCCGGCCCCCCATCCCATCGCTTGATGTGTGAGCTGCACACATCAAGCGATCGTCTTGAATTACTAAAGTTTATAACTAGTAGTCACAACCATTGACTGTTGCAACCTCATCATTGACTGTTACAGCCTCATCATTGACTGCTGACAGCCTCATCATTGTGCTTTGCTGCCTCATCATTGACTGTTGCATACACTCACTCATTGACTGTTGCAGACCTCATCATTGACTGTTGCAACCTCATCATTGACTGTTGCAGCCTCATCATTGACTGTTGCAGCCTCATCATTGACTGTTGCAACCTCATCATTGACTGTTGCAACCTCATCATTGACTGTTGCAGCCTCAACATTGACTGCTGCAGCCTCATCATTGTCTGTTGCTGCCTCATCATTGACTGTTGCAACCTCATCATGGACTGTTGCAACCTCATCATTGACTGTTGCAACCTCATCATTGACTGCTGCAGCCTCATCATTGTCTGTTGCTGCCTCATCATTGACTGTTGCAACCTCATCATTGACTGTTGCAACCTCATCATTGACTGTTGCAGCCTCAACATTGACTGCTGAGTTTGCTGTGCTGCTCATCATAGACTGTTGCAACAGCATCATTGACTGTTGCAACCTCATCATTGACTGTTGCAACCTCATCATTGACTGTTGCAGCTTCAGCATTGACTGTTGCAGCCTCATCATTGACTGTTGCAACCTCATCATTGACTGTTGCAGCCTCAACATTGACTGCTGCAGCCTCATCATTGACTGTTGCAACCTCATCATGGACTGTTGCAACCTCATCATTGACTGTTGCAACCTCATCATTGACTGTTGCTGCCTCATCATTGACTGTTGCAGCCTCATCATTGACTGTTGCATCCTCATCATTGACTGTTGCAGCCTCAACATTGACTGCTGCAGCCTCATCATTGACTGTTGCAACCTCATCATTGACTGTTGCAACCTCATCATTGACTGTTGCAACCTCATCATTGACTGTTGCAACCTCATCATTGACTGTTGCATCCTCATCATTGACTGTTGCAACCTCATCATGGACTGTTGCAACCTCATCATTGACTGTTGCTGCCTCATCATTGACTGTTGCATCCTCATCATTGACTGTTGCAACCTCATCATTGACTGTTGCTACCTCATCATTGACTGTTGCTGCCTCACCCATTGACTGTTGCTGCCTCATCATTGACTGCTGCAGCCTCATCACTGTTGCAGCCTCATCACTGTTGCAGCCTCATCATCCAGGTATTCACCCATCGTTTGGCTTCAAAACAGTTCTCCTTGTTCACTCCCATCCTCCGTTTACACTCTCAACACAACACATTCACAGACGGAGAGTAAAAAAGTTATAGCTCATAATTTAATAATGAAAATAATAATAATAATAATAATAATAATAATAATAATAATAATAATAATAATAATAATAATAATAATAATAATAATAATAATAATAACAATAATAATAATAATAATAATAATAATAATTAATAAAATAATAATAATAATAATAATATAATAAAAAATAATAATAATAACAATAATAATAATAATAATAATAATAATAATAATGGTAATAATAATAATGAACTGACTACTCAAAATATGATATATTGATTTTGTGCCCATATTACAAAAACCTCGTATTTGTATGATTCATAACTAGTAAGTCGCTAACTGTTCTGGAAAAATTAATACGAATAATCTACCTATAATATCATTTTGTATAGCTTGTTATATAATGCTGGTCTTGAATCACCGTGAAATTTCAAGACACTTGGTCATGTTCCCACTCCTGACATTTTTTAAATAAATGTTAAATTATGGGTAATGAATCTAATATTCCTTAAAAATGTACTTGACGAGCCTCGTATTCCTGAAAGACATACATATTTTTATTGATCATTGCACTACGGCGATCATATGCTACAAATATGACCAATAAAAGTATCATTACATTTATTATTTTGGTTAAAAGATTATCTAATTAATTACTGAGAAAAATATACCCGCCACGAGAAGCAATGAGAGTGGGATGAGACTGGTAGCTGAACCAGTTAAGAGTCTGGGTTGTGGCTTGGCTGACTGGTCCAAGTTACAGTTTTGTGCTAACTCCGCTGCTATACTCGGGTGTGAGTCTTGACATTGTTCAAGAATCAGGTAAGAGAGAAGTGGCTTGTAACAATTGTCGAAATGCTCTGTGCAGGAAGTGCAGTATCCACTCTGGTAGATGGCACACGTCTGCAATACATAAAGACATGATTTTTTTTGTTTACACAGAGTTTGACAAGGTTAGGTTAAGGATCCCTAGCTTTATTGACAAGCTATTTACAGGTTAAGGATCCCAGCTTTATTGACAAGCTATTTACAGGTTAAGGATCCCTAGCTTTATTGACAAGCTATTTACAGGTTAAGGATCCCTAGCTTTATTGACAAGCTATTTACAGGTTAAGGATCCCTAGCTTTATTGATAAGCTATTTACAGGTTAAGGATCCCTAGCTTTATTGACAAGCTATTTACAGGTTAAGGATCCCTAGCTTTATTGACAAGCTATTTACAGGTTAAGGATTCCTAACTTTATTGGCAAGCTAAGAGCTGTTACCTACATCAGCTCATTTGAAACCATTTTTATTGTTATGAGACATACAAGTAGGGAGCAGGATGAAGTTGGAGCCATCTGTGGGCCAGCATTTTCATTTGATCAACTGACTTTATCTCGTTGACATCATTATGCTGTACGAATGTGTTCCATACTCGAGTCATCCTGGGTATGTATGATCTCAGATGGAGTGATGTTCTGGAGAAGGGTACAGTCAGAGTGAAGTTGCTGCTTTCTGCCCGTCTTGTGGCATAAAAGCTTGTTTCACGCTGTCCTCAAAGTGGATCTAAGTGTGGTACTTTGACAATATTGGCCTTGTACATAACAGTAAGGCCACCCACATCCTTCCTGTGTTGAAGGCTCTGCTGAAATGACAGGTCTATCCAGGATGTGTCCAGGCGAGAGATGAGACGTCTTGTTCTGTTCTCTACTTTGTCAAGCAGTCGCAGATGAGAGGGGGGGGGCAGGCAAACCAAGAAAGTGGAGCATACTCAAGATGTGAGCGTACTTGTGCCTCGTACAGAATCTTGCAGCCCCTACTGTCAAGCAGATGCGAGATATGGCGAAGTGCTGTAAGCTTCTGGCTGCCTTGTTTGCAAGATTTACAACATGGTTCTTCATGGTTAGTTTGGAGTCAAATTTCACCCCAAAGATATCAACTTCTCCAGGTGCCAACACCCTCCCATTCATCCTTACTACTGCACCAGCATTACCATCTCTCTCTCTCTCTCTCTCTCTCTCTCTCTCTCTCTCTCTCTCTCTCTCTCTCTCTCTCTCTCTCTCTCTCTCTCTCTCTATCTATCTATCTATCTATCTCTATCTCTCTCAAGTTATGTATGTCATCATTAAAGAGTGGAATCAGTGCATGAGGAGTTTCCATTAGAAATGTTAGAGAAATGCAAAAAGCAGGTTGGGATATAGTTTTGAAATGGTTAGTACATTTGTTCAGTAAATGTGTAAATGGGGAAAATGTTCCAAGGGATTGGTAGAGAGTGTGCATAGTTACATTTTATAAAGGAAAGGGGGATAAAAAGTAAGAATTAGACAGGAATAAGCCTGTTGAAAGAATTGAGGGTAAGCCGAGAACAGGATCGCAGATGAACAAGGAGGCTTTAGAATGGGTAGGGGATGTGCAGAGCAAGTGTTTACATTGAAGCATATAAGTGAGCAGTATTTAGATAAAGGTAAGGAAATTTTCGTTGCCTTTATGGATTTAGAGAAAGCATATGATAGGGTGGATAGGGGAGCAACATGGCATATGTGTCAAGAGCATGGAATAGGTGGTAGGTAACTTAAAGCTGTTAAAAGTTTTTGTAAGGATAGTGGAGCTCAGGTTAGGGTAGGGGAGAGGGATATTATTTCCCATTTAAAATAGACTTTAGACAGAGTTACATGGTGTCACCATGATAGTTTAACATATTTAGATGGGGGCTGTAAAATTATGTGTGGTTCCTGCCTCCACTACCTCACTTGCCAGGCTATTCCACTTCCTGACAACTCTATAACTGAAGAAATACTTCCTAACATCCTTTTGACTCATCTGAGTCTTCAGCTTCTAATCGTGACCCCTTGTTTCTGCGTCCCCTCTCTGGGACATCCTGTCTCTGTCCACCTTATCTATTCCTCACAGCATTTTGTATGTCGTTTTCATGTCTTCCCTAACCCTCCTGCCCTCCAGTGTCGTCAGGCCGATTTCCCTTAACCTTTCTTCGTAGGACATTCCCCTTAGCTCTGGAACTAACCTTGTCGCAAACCTTTGCACTTTCTCTAATTTCTTGACATGCTTGACCAGGTGTGAGTTCCAAACTGGTGCTGCATACTCCAGTATGGGCCTGACGTACACGGTGTACAGAGTCTTGAACGATTTCTTATTGAGGTATCGGAACGCTCTTCTCAGGTTTGCCAGGCGCCCGTATGCCGCATCAGTTATCTGGTTGATGAAAGTTAAGACACTTGTGCAACATCTGGTTGCACAAGTGTCTTAACTTTCATCTTGTCGGTATTGTATACCTGTCTTGCACAACTATCTGGTTGATGTGTGCTTCAGGAGACGTGCTCGGTGTTATACTCACCCCAAGATCTTTCTCCTTGAGTGAGGTTTGCAGCCTTTGGCCTCCTAGCCTATACTCTGTCTGCGGTCTTCTTTGCCCATCTCCGATATTTATGACTTTGCATTTGGCTGGGTTAAATTCGAGGAGCCAGTTGCTGGACCAGGTGTCCAGTCTGTCCAGGTCTCTTTGAAGTCCTGCCTGATCCTCAACTGATTTTATTCTCCTCATTAACTTCACATCATCTGCGGACAGGGAGACTTCTGGGTCTATCCCTTCCATCATGTCGTTCACATGTACCATCAATAGCACTGGTCCTAGAACTGACCCCTGTTGGACCCCACTGGTCACAGGCGCCCTCTGCGAAACCTCATCATGTACCATGACTCATCATATCTAGAAGTATAAATAATAGAAGTCCTCAGGTTGTTCAACTCTATATATCCTTGGTTAGGCCTCATTTAGACTATGCTGCTCAGTTCTGGTCACCGTATTACAGAATGGATATAAATGCTCTGGAAAACGTACAGAGGAGGATGACGAAGATGATCCCATATATCAGAAATCTTCCCTATGAGGATAGACTGAGAGCCCTGAATCTGCACTCTCTAGAAAGGCGTAGAATTAGGGAGGATATGATCGAGGTGTATAAATGGAAAACAGGAATAAAAAAAGGGGATGTAAATAGCGTGCTGAAAATTTCCAGCCAAGACAGGACTCGCAGCAATAGTTTCAAGTTGCCGCGGGGGCGTTGACCCCAAAACCCTCTCCAGGTATACTCCAGGTATTAATCATTAATTAATTTTATAATTTATTAATATTTATTAATTAATATTTACTAATTTATTAATATTTATTAATTTATTAAGATTTATTAATTTATTAATGTTTATGTTTGAGGAAACACCTATACTACTCAAGTAAGTTTTGAAAATAGTCGAGTCTATATTCAAGTTCTTAAATGCGTCCAAAACTAACTAATGATGCAACACTTGCGTATTATCAAGTGATGCAATTTTTCATTCTTAGAAGCTTCGGGTCATGTTTCGTCACCAACATTTAGCACAATGTTAGGATGGTCTATAAGTTTTTGTTAATACCCAAGGGCTTTTAGACGTTTCCACAGCTGTCGAGGATTTCTTTCATATTTTACAAGTTTAGAACTAGAGTGCCGTTCCTGTGGCCACCTTATATCATAGATGCATTTGATAGCCCTATAAAATTTCCAGACTAGTTTATAATAATATATAGAAGCTTCACTTCAAGAGCTAGACCTCACTTTGCCTCTGTAAGATTACTGTTTGATACTAAATAGCGTATATTAAGTGATAAATATTTATTAAACTGTTGCAAATGGCACAAAATAAGTTGAATTTAAAAATTTTAGTCTTTAAGTTGTCTGCCGATAAGACAGTTAAATGTAATAACTATTTTAGGTAAAAAACTCTTAGAATCTTCTAGGGATATGTTCCATATTTTCTGGTCTTTTAAAACGTGTATGGAATCTCTGTTTATGTTGAGTCGAGCTTGTGGGATATCAAGGAGATATTTCCTTCTTGTATCTTATCTGTTGTAGTCCTCTAGGAAGAGCTTAATGGTTGGGTTTATATTTACATTAAATGTGATATATACAAAACATGGGCAGTAGCAAATGTAGATATTGAATAGTGATGGAGGGGGGGGGGTGTTACTGTTTGGAACATCATTGATTGATCATTATAACTGCAGAATTGTGCTCAGTAACGATGGGTTTTAGGTAATTTGTTGTTGCAGATCTTTTATACTGTAAGTTAATTATGAATGGATTAGAAAATAGTAACGATTAAGTTAGAAGGTTGAGATACTAATATAGTAAAGCATTTGGTATACTGTCTTTGTTACTGTCGACCTTAATTATCTTGAAGACAGTTACCTTGACAAATATGAAGGAACTGTGAGACAAGAAACTTGTGCAGACAATTAGAACGAGGATAAGTAAGTAAGTAAGTAAGTAAATTTATTCAGGTATACACAATACAGTTACACAGAATTATCATACATAGCAGCATATGTGTAGAGAACCTAGGATAACCCAAAAAAGTCAGACAGAGTGACTTATTTCCATTGGGGTCCTTTTACCTTATTATTATAATATAAAGGTTATAATATTTTCTTATTATTCTATAATGAAGATAACATCTTATTATCATACTAAAAAGACTATCTACTACACGAGGGTCATTAAGACTATCTACAATACGAGGGTCATTAAGACTATCTACTACCCGAGGGTCATTACGACTATCTACAATACGAGGGTCATTACTAGGGACATTACTAGGGATATGTAGGGATATGTAAGAAGAGTTCAGAAAGTTAACATGGATGAAGAACTTTATACCTGTTCATCTGAGTTCCTGAAGTCCTCGCAATCTAAGCAGCTCAAACCAGTCAGAGAAATATTAGTGTGCCAATCCCTTTTCGTCTCACATTCAGGTTCCTGCAAGAATGAACTAATAAGTCATAATGCAAAATATAGTTGCAATAACTATGTACACACAAATATACAATTTCTCCCAAAACCTTTAAATCCAGCGAATGTATTTCAACAGCAGTGGGTCATTAGACATCCAGATAATTTCTTCTAAATCAAAACTGTATATTATATTATAATTTTATCTAACACGCTACATTATTTTTATATAAACTCTATTTTTATATTTCACTAGTGGTTAATAATACAGGAATGCCGTGCATAGAGTTGTTAATAGGTGCCGAAATAGATCGGTGCTTTGCAGAGCCGCGTTGTTTGAAACATTGTTTTAATGTGTTATAGTGTAATGCGTTCTAAACATATAATTACATTAGAGTAGTGGTGAAAAAAATAATCGTGCATAAATTTGTTTACAAAAAGGTTACCAGAAATACTCATTAATACGCTCTGAGAATTAGAAAGGATTAAAATGAAATGAAAAAAACAAATAGTGAACATTTTATTGTTTATAACTGAACACGAGTTTTCATTTGATTTAAACATTGTAATTTGCAAAGATTTTTCTTTATTTTCTCTGCATGCATATCTTTGCAAAATTGAATACCATTTTGCAATGCTTGCCAAACTTTCATGCTTCGTTCATTGTTAGGATCAGTGTCCATAAGAAAGAAAATCAGAATCATCGTCTATTTTTCTAATAAAAATCTAAAAGCTCATTTAATATAAGATGCTGTGCCAAGTCCGTGTTTTATGTTTAGGTAAAGTTTGTCAGAGAACAGGATAAGTGTTTCCTGCGACATATCAACACCCCTCCTTTAGAGTGCAGGAATTGTACTTCCCACCTCCAGGACTCAACTCGGCTTGCTGGTTTCCCTGAATCCCTTCATAAATGTTGCTCATACTCCAATAGCACGTCAAATTGTAAAAACCATATGTCTCCACTCGCTCTTATCTAACATGGTCATGCACAGTAGCTGGAAGTTCAAGCTCCTCATACCCAAAACCTCCTTCAGCCCCTCCCTCCAACTTTTCCTAAGCTGACTCCTACCCTGCCTTCCTTCCACTACAGATTTATTCGCTCTCCAAGTCATTCTATTTTGTTCCATCCTCTCTAAATGTCCAAACCACCTCAACAACAAGGAGAACCTTGTTGCAACTTTCACCTCCCATGCTTCACACTCATATAAGAGCATTGGTATATTTATACTCTCATACATTTTCCTCTTTGCTTTCATGGATGACACTCTTTGTCTCCACAGACTCCTCAGTGCACCACTCACCTCATCTGTCATAGACCCATCTGCTGACAAGTCCATTCCCAAATATCTGAATACATTCACTTCCTCAGTGCTCCCTCCTTCCAATCTGATATCCAATCTTTCATTACCTAATTTTTTTATCATCATCTTACATTTTCCCATGTTCACTTTTAATTTCCTTCTTTTACATATCCTACCAAATTCATCCACCAACCTCTGCAACTTCTCTCCAGAATCTCCCAAAAGCACAGTGTCATCAGCAAAAATCAACTGTGACAACTCCCAGTTTGTGTTAGATTCTTTATCTTTTAACCCCACACCTCTTGCCATCCAACCCCATCTATAAATATATTGAACACTCATGGTGACATCATGCATCCCTGTCTAAGGCCTACTTTTACTGGGAAACAATCTCTGTCTCTCTTACACTCTAACCTGAGACTCACTATCCTCATAAAAACTTTTACTGCTTTCAGTAACCTACCTCCTATTCCATACATTTGCAACATCTGCCACATGCCCCCTTATCCACCCTATCATATGCCTTTTCCAAATCCATAAATGCAACAAAAACCTCTTTACCCTTATCTAAATACTGTTCACCTATATGTTTCACTGTAAACACTTAGACTACACACCCCCTACCTTTCCTAAAGCCTCGTCAGGCCTTCCTTCCTCATCACACACTGTTTTGTATAACTGTAAGGCTATAGACCAATAAGCCTAACCTCCATAGTGGGAAAATTTATGGAGTTAATTATTGCCGAGGCAATTCGTAGCAATCTTGAAAAGCATAAATTGATCAATGAATCTCAGCACGGTTTTATAAATGGGCGTTCCTGCCTTACAAATTTATTAACTTTTTTTTTCACTAAGGTGTTTGAGGAGGTAGATCATGGTAATGAATATGATATTGTGTATATGGACTTCAGTAAGTTTTTGATAAAGTCTCACATCAGAGGCTGTTGAGAAAACTTAAGGCACACGGAATAGGAGGAGAAATTTTTTCCTGGGTAGAGGCATGATTGACAAATAGGCAGCAGAGAATTTGCATAAATGAGGAGAAATCAGAGTGGGGGCAAGTCACAAGCGGTGTTCCTCAGGGGTCAGTGTTGGGCCCGTTGTTCACAATTTACATAAACGACATAGATGAGGGAATAAATAGCAACATAAGAAAGTTTGCTGATGACACCAAGATAAACCATCCAATTCATTCTAATGAGGACATTAGAGCACTCCAGGATGATTTGAATAGACTGATGCAGTGGTCGGAGAAGTGGCAGATGCAGTCTAATATAGATGAATGCAAAGGTCTAAATGTTGGACAGGAAAATAACCATGCCACATATAAATTAAATAATGTGGATTTTAATATTACTGATTGTGAAAAGAATTTAGGAGTTCTGGTTAGCAGTAATCTAAAACCAAGACAACAGTGCATAAGTGTTCGCAGTAAAGCGAACAGAATCCTTGGCTTCATATCAAGAAGTACAAATAATAGAAGTCCTCAGGTTGTTCTTCAACTCTATATATCCTTGGTTAGGCCTCATTTAGATTATGCTGCTCAGTCCTGGTCACCGTATTACAGAATGGATATAAATGCTCTGGAAAATGTACAAAGGAGGATGACAAAGTTGATCCTATGTATCAGAAATCTTCCCTGTGAGGATAGACTGAGGGCCCTGAATCTGCACTCTCTAGAAAGGCGCAGAATTAGGCGGGATATGATCGAGGTGAATAAATGGAAAACAGGAATAAATAAAGAGGATGTAAATAACGTGCTAGAAATGTCTAGACAAGACAAGACTCGCAGCAATGGTTTTAAGTTGGACAAATTCAGAGTCAGGAAGAATATAGGGAAGCACTGGTTTGGCAAAAGAGATGTGGATGAGTGGAACAAACTCCCGAGTACCGTCAAAGGAGCTAAAACGTTGCATACTTTTAAAACTAGGTTAGATAAATACATGAATGGGTGTGGGTGGGTGTGAGCTGGAATTGACTAGCTTGTGTTGATGGGTCTGTTGCCGTGCTCCTTCCTTAAGTGGGTGTGACCTTGGCCTGGCTAGCCTTGGGCCGGTGGGTGACTTGGATCTGCCTCGCATGGGCCAGTAGGCCTGCTGCAGTGTTCCTTCTTATGTTCTTATGTTCTTAACAGTCACCATATGTGCACCACTTTCATGTTTGTCCAATATCTCGATTTTTATCATAACACTAAGACTTTAACCTAAGAATAGCATTCTGACTTCTCGCTATTGAGATGTCAGAATGCTGTTCTTAGGTTCGCTAGTCGCCCATATCCTTTAGTTGGTTTAATATCTTCATTATGCACCCCATACCCATCCTATGGGCGGTAGTCAAAAGATTACAAAGGTACATAATGGGTCCAGGGACTGGACCCCGTTCTACCCCGCGCGCCTCTCCCATGTCCATTTGCACCAATAACTCACTACAGTTGTGACCGGGTGTGGAAGTGTGAATTGCTCATTACACTATAATTTGTTCATGATTGTAGCCATGTATAAACGTAAGTAACCATTCTTACAGTATTCATTACCTTTGTAACTTGTGAGTTCATTACCTTGTACCTAGTTCAGCCATCACAACTTTGGGAGCCCAGTCCCTGGACCCATTACGTACCTCTGTAATCTGTAAATACCTTTGTAACTTGTCATGATTGTGACTAGACCTACCTGGAGTTCATTACCTTTGTAAATTGTGAGTTCATTACCTTTGTAAATTGTGAATTCATTACCTCTGTAACTTGCTCAGCTATCAAAACTTTGGAGTCCAGTCCCTGGACCAATTATGTACCTCTGTAATCTTTTGACTACCGCCCACAGGATGGGTATGGGGTGCATAATAAACATATTAAACTAACTAACTAACCATGTCCTGCGGCAGTTATTAGCTTAAGTGCGCCTCAGGAGATGTGCTCTGTATTATACACACTCTAAGATCCTTTTCCTTGAGTGAGGTTTGTAGTTGTTGTCCCCCCTAGACTGTACTTTGTCTGCGGTCTTCTTTGCCCTTCCCCGATCTTCATGACTTTGCACTTGGTTGGGTTGAACTCCAGGAGCCAGTTGCTGGACCAGGCCTGCAGCCTGTCCAGATCCTCCTGATTGCAAAAAAGGATTTAGGAGTTCTGGTTAGCAGTAATCTAAAACTAAGACAACAGTGCATAAATGTTCGCAATAAAGCGAACAGAATCCTTGGCTTCATATCAGGGGCCCGAGACTGTTCAACTGCCTCCCAGCACACATAAGGGGGATTACCAACAAACCCCTGGCAGTCTTCAAGCTGGCACTGGACAAGCACCTAAAGTCGGTTCCTGACCAGCCTGGCTGTCTCTCGTATGTTGGTTTGCGTGCAGCCAGCAGCAACAGCCTGGTTGATCAGGCTCTGATCCACCAGGAGGCCTGGTCACAGACCGGGCCGCGGGGGCGTTGACCCCCGGAACTCTCTCCAGGTAAACTCCAGGTCTCCAGGTAATAGAAGCCTCAGGTTGCTCTTCAACTCTGCAGATCATTGGTTAGGCCTCATTTAGATTATGCTGCACAGTTTTGGTCAACGTATTACAGAATGGATATAAATGGCCTTCCCGTCAGGTATTCTCTGATCCATTGCTGTGCCTTCCCTGTTATACCTGCCTGGTCCTCCAGCTTTTCACTAGTCTCTTGTGTGACTGTGTCAAAAGCCGTCTTACAGTCCAAGAAAACGCAATCAACCCACCCCTCTCTCTTGTCTTACTGCTGTCACCTTGTCATAGAACTCCAGTAGGCTTGTGACATAGGATTTCCCGTCTCTGAATCCTTGCTGGTTGCCACTTATAAGCTCATTCCTTTCTAGGTGGTCCACTGCTCTTCTAATAATCTTCTCCATTACTTTGCATACAGTACGTGTCGGGGACACTGGTCTGTAGTTTAAAAACTGGGATTACATTTGCTGTCTTCCATACCTCAGGTAGTCGCCCTGTTTCGATAGATGTGTTGAAAATTGTTGTTAGTGGTACACAGAGCACCTCTGCTCCCTCTCTCAGGCCCCACGGAGAAATGTTATCCAGCCCTATCGCCTTTGAGATATCTAGTTTGCATAGCAGCCTCTTCACCTCGGTTGTATTTATCGTGACCAGCACTTGTTGGTGTATCCCACCTCTCCGTCTTTCTGTAGTCCTTTCTGCCTCCACTGTAAATACTTCAAGGTCTTTTCTCGTAAACTCCCTTCCTTCCTTCCTCAGCCTGATTACCTGGTCTTTCACTGTTGTTTTCTTCCTCGTGCAACTGTTCAACAACTTTGGGTCAGACTTGGCTTTCGCTGCTATGTCATTTTCATATTGTCGTTGGGCCTCCCTCCTTACCTGTGCATATTCATTTCTTGCTCTACGATTACTCTCCTTATTCTCCTGGGTCCTTTGCCTTCTATACTTCTTCCGTTCTCTAGCGCACTTGGTTTTTGCCTCTCTACACCTTCGGGTTAACCAAGGGCTTGTCCTTGGTTCACATATTCCGTCATCTCATTTACTGATTTCCCTGCCAGTTCTCTATCCCACCGAACCTCCTGCACAAAGTTCCTCATGCCTGTGTAGTCCCCTCTCTTGTAGTTTGGCTTCATTTGTCTTGCCCTTCCTGCCTCCCTCTCCACTTCTAACTCTATATATTCGAAGCTTAGAACCACGTGATCACTAGCTCAGAGGGGCCTTTCATATGTGATGCCTTCAATATCTGCACCATTCAAGGTGAATATTAGGTCCAGCCTTGCTGGTTCATTCTCTCTCCTTTCTCTGGTAGTGTTTCTAATGCGTTGATACATGAGGTTTTTCAGTATTACCTTCAACATCTTAGCCCTCTACATGTCTGGGCCCCCATGTGGCTTCAGGTTTTCCTAGTCGATTTCTGTGTGGTTGAAGTCACCCACAACCAGTAGCTTTGCCCTGCCCACATAGACCCTTCTAGCCACTTCAGCCAGTGTGTCAACCTTCTCTTTGTTGCTCTCATATTTTTGTCTTGGTCGCCTGCTATTCAGTGGTGGGTTATACATCACTTCAATCACCACCTTGGGATCTCCGGTCTGAAGTGTTCCTATTATGTAGTCCCCTGCTTCTCTTCTGTCTACTCTCTCCAACTCCTCAAAATCCCATTGGTTTTTGATGAGCAGTGTAACTCCTCCACCTCTCCTGTTCCCCTCTGTGTGTGTGTGTATGTGTGTATATAATGTGGAGCCTTAGTCCACATTATACACACACATATATACTAGCCTTCGACCGTGGGTTCAAACCCCACCCGTTGTATGGTTTGTTTGCAATCGTGTCATTACGATTTCGTGAGTCATACTAGCGTTTGTCCGGTAAATACAAGACAGGCAGGTTACCTGGAGTCTGATGGGAGGTGTAGTGACATTGACGAAGCTGTTGTTATGCCACACCAGCTCCTCTACTGAACACAAGTTAACAAAAGCTTTCCCGTTGGCGCTCACAAACTTGTTGTCTCTGAAGGTAGCAGAGTTGTCCACAAACCTGGAGGAAAGTGTGTAATGCATTATAAACGTTTATTGAGGATTTAAGTACATAACATATAGTTTATTTTACAATTGTCTTGTGGGTGTATATATGTCATGCGCTCATAAAAAAAAATAAAGACATTGGAGATAATAATAATTATGGAGATATTGAAGAAGTGGAGAGGTAATTTGACGTAATTAATCCCTCGACTTTAATATATGTTCAGTCCCTCAGATAGACATAAAGACAGATTTTACCGTCATACGCAGTGGTAATCTAGCACTGATGAACTAGATATCACTACACAAATAACCCGCAACTAGGAGAAACGAGCATACGACGATGTTTCGGTCTGACTTGAATAATTTACAAAGTCACACTAACCCAAAAGATACGATGAAGCTCGTGGAACAGGGAGAAAGTGGACCTAAGTAAGTAAGTAAGTTTATTCAGGTATACACAAATACAATTACATAGAATTATCGTACATAGCAGCATATGTGTGGTAGCGACCAGCGAAGAAACAAGACCAGGAGCTTTGAATCGACCCCTGCAACTACGAATAAATGAGTACAAAGTGAGGAGGCCAATATATACATAGGCGACGAGGGGACAAGGACGTGACCAAGAGAGGTAAGATAAGTAGTGGTAAAGCTGGTAGTGGAAGTATGAATAGAAGAAACAGAGGTAGTAGAAAGTAGGGAGAGTAGGTTGTGTGCCTTTGTAAGCAGTCCAAGTCGGTCCGAAACATCGTTGTAAGCTTGTCTCTACTATATGCGGGTTATTTGTGTATCGGTATATGGCCATTGAATACACTGACTCGCTATCACCCATATATATCATGTCTGGACAACACTTACTTTCTTTGTAGTATTTTCTGATCTAACTTTTCTCATTACTGTCCCTCTCCCTTATGTAAGAAAAGTGTTGATATTAGCAAAACTGTTAAGAAATAAACCAAGTGGTCTGGATTTCTGCCTAAATGTAAATCTATACTAGGATGTATTTCATATTTATATAGAAAAATTTCACTGTTGCCACTATTTTATGAAATTCGTCACAATGGAGCCCCCAGCTCTTACTGACCAGCTCACTGAGTGACGTCAAGATCTTCTCTAGTAGTTTTTTTTTTTCTTTGCGACTTGTGTAACTAACTTATCCTCAACAATTCTCGCCCAGCTTCCTTTGTCTGGAAGCCACGGGGGCGTTGACCCCCCGAAACCCTCTCCAGGTATACTCCAGGCATGCCTAACCTAACTTAGGATGAGCATGTTCTGTGTGGTAATGCCCATCCATTGAGGTACAAAAAAAGATTACAATATTCTTAATACTTGCATCTTTGGATATTACAATCATTTCATAAATTATTGTGACATTATATAGTTACTACTTATTTAATGCAGTATGTGGATAGATTCCCAAAATTACAGATAGTTTATCTGTAATTATCTGTTTTAGGGAAGAAATTGAGTGACTTATTGGGCGATGAGCCCAATAAGTTCTCCTGATCTATGTTTGGATGACCTCGGTCCCCCAGTCACCATCCACTGATGAAGACCACAAGACCTTGTTCTTGTTCTTGTTCAGACCAGAGCTTTGGTGAGATGGGGAAGGAAGAAGGATGGGTAAGGATGGAAATATTGGAAAAGGGTGGGAGGGGGGTGAGAGGTAGGATATAAAGGTAAGTGGCCCAACCACTTTGGTGCAATTTAAAAAGTGTACGTGAAATGATAATATATTTATTTAAGGGGTATAAGACTAACCCATCAGAGTCACATAGATATAACAGATATAAGTACATGACTCTGAATTGGTAGTAATTATACAAGACCTCAGCTGCAAAATGACGAGGCTACTTCTTCGTTCGTCAGAATTTCATTGTTGTATTATCCCCAACAATTATAGCTCGTATATTGAATAGAGATCCTGTAGAAGCTCATGGTTTTTATAATTGTTTATTCGCCAGGTGAAAATCAGTTAACAGGGACAGAATGCTGCAAAGATGGAACACAGGAATAAGGGTACACAGCTAGAAGTTGAAAACTCAGAAGAATCGTAGGAATGTTAGGAAGTATTTCTTCAGCCTTAGAGCTGTCAGGAAGCGGAGCAATCTGGAGAGTGGACCTAATAGCGACCAACGAAGAGGCGGGGTCAGGAGCTGTGACTCAAGCCCAGCAACCACATATAAGAGAATACGGTTCTTTGTTATATTATAGCCCCTGAAGCTGTCCAGGTCCTACGGTGGACCACAGTAGCAGGAAGTTCTGGCTTCTTGTAAGCGAGTACAAAGAGGAAGCTGACAAAGGATCGAGCCTTCACTACGTCTTGTGCTGAATGACTTACTAGTGATAAATTATAAAGACTTAGCTAAGAATGAACCAACAGTCACACTGCGACTTATTTCCATTGTGATTTTCATTGTTTTAATCTTATTTTTCTCAACGCTTAAGTTATAAGTATATGACGTCTTGACATTTAGAAATTGGAAATGATACAGAACTTAGAGTTGATGCAAACTATAATTAAAACAGAGTAAGACCTACAGGTTTAGAGCTCCCCATGAAAGCAATAATAGATTACAGATACAATTGGTCATTTCAAGCGAGCAACTGGCAGACGACAAATAATGGCGTTTAAAACTATTGAAAACACTAACGTAACGTCAACGAAAAAATACTTAAGATAAAAAGAAAAAACAGACGGGCCTGTCCGGGATTTGAACCCGGGACCTCCTGCACCCAAAGCAGGAATCATACCCCTAGACCAACAGGCCGTGGGCGAATACTATATCTTTTATTTATAAACTTTAAATACATATATATTGTCAGTAAATAATGCATAATATTTTTAAAGTTAATAATAATATCTTTATTTACTACCAGTACATGTACAAGGTATACAGACCATAGCTGACATCAGTGACATACTACTATATAGAAAGTTGCTTGTTATGTTGAGCATTTCCTGCAAATTAGGTCAGTTTTGTCCCAGGATGTGACCCACACCAGTCCGCTAACACCCAGGATGTGACCCACACCAGTCCACTAACACCCAGGATGTGACCCACACAAGTCCACTAACACCCAGGATGTGACCCACACAAGTCCACTAACACCCAGGATGTGACCCACACCAGTCTACTAACACCCAGGATGAGACCCACCCAGTCCACTAACACCCAGGATGTGACCCACACCAGTCTACTAACACCCAGGATGAGACCCACCCAGTCCACTAACACCCAGGATGTGACCCACACCAGTCCACTAACACCAGGATGAGACCCACACCAGTCCACTAACACCCAGGATGTGACCCACACCAATCCACTAACACCCAGGATGCCACCCACACCAATCTACTAACACCCAGGATATGACCCACACCAGTCCACTAACACCCAGGATGTGACCCACACCAGTCCACTAACACCCAGAATGCGACCCACACCAGTCCACTAACACCCAGGATGTGACCCACACAAGTTCACTAACACCCAGGATGTGACCCACACCAGTCCACTAACACCCAGGATGAGACCCACACCAGTCCACTAACACCCAGGATGTGACCCACACCAATCCACTAACACCCAGGATGCCACCCACACAATCCACTAACACCCAGGATGTGACCCACACCAGTCCACTAACACCCAGGATGTGACCCACACCAGTCCATTAACACCCAGGATGTGACCCACACCAGTCCACTAACACCCAGAATGCGACCCACACCAGTCCACTAACACCCAGGATGAGACCCACACCAGTCCACTAACACCCAGGATGTGACCCACACCAATCCACTAACACCCAGGATGCCACCCACACAATCCACTAACACCCAGGATGTGACCCACACCAGTCCACTAACACCCAGGATGTGACCCACACCAGTCCATTAACACCCAGGATGTGACCCACACCAGTCCATTAACACCCAGGATGTGACCACACCAGTCCATTAACACCCAGGATGTGACCCACACAGTCCACTTACACCCAGGATGTGACCCACACAAGTTCACTAACACCCAGGATGTGACCCACACCAGTCCACTAACACCCAGGATGAGACCCACACCAGTCCACTAACACCCAGGATGTGACCCACACCAGTCCATTAACACCCAGGATGTGACCCACACCAGTCCATTAACACCCAGGATGTGACCCACACCAGTCCATTAACACCCAGGATGTGACCCACACCAGTCCATTAACACCCAGGACGTGACGTGTTGTGTCATACTGCATCATGCTGGGTAGTGTTCTGTCATACTGCATCATGCTGGGTGGTGTTGTGTCATACTACATCATGCTGGGTAGTGTTCTGTCATACTGCATCATGCTGGGTAGTGTTGTGTCATACTACATCATGCTGGGTAGTGTTCTGTCATACTGCATCATGCTGGGTGGTGTTCTGTCATACTGCATCATGCTGGGTAGTGTTGTGTCATACTACATCATGCTGGGTAGTGTTCTGTCATACTGCATCATGCTGGGCGGTGTTCTGTCATACTGCATCATGCTGGGTGGTGTTCTGTCATACTACATCATGCTGGGTAGTGTTGTGTCATACTGCATCATGCTGGGTAGTGTTCTGTCATACTGCATCATGCTGGGTAGTGTTCTGTCATACTACATCATGCTGGGTAGTGATCTGTCATACTGCATCATGCTGGGTAGTGTTGTGTCATACTACATCATGCTGGGTAGTGTTCTGTCATACTGCATCATGCTGGGTAGTGTTGTGTCATACTACATCATGCTGGGTAGTGTTCTGTCATACTGCATCATGCTGGGCGGTGTTCTGTCATACTGCATCATGCTGGGTAGTGTTCTGTCATACTACATCATGCTGGGCGGTGTTCTGTCATACTGCATCATGCTGGGTAGTGTTGTGTCATACTACATCATGCTGGGTAGTGTTCTGTCATACTGCATCATGCTGGGTAGTGTTGTGTCATACTACATCATGCTGGGTAGTGTTGTGTCATACTACATCATGCT